CGACCTCGAGAATGCACCCATGCACTGACGTCACCATTCGTCACCACGGTTACCGCGTCTATAGTTACTGCGGTTGCCACGTCTGCTGCTACCTGTGTGCCGTAAGGATCGTAGGTCTGCAATGCCCGCTTGTGCAAACGTCAGTTTACAGTTTGGGCCGTATGAGTCCTGCGCGGAAGTTAAGCACAGGACTGAACGCCTGGAGGGATTGAAAGGTTACAAGTTACTACACTAGTTCACTGGCAGCAAGAACAAGTCCGCACCTACAGCACACACGCATCCACACGACTATATAATAGTACAACATTATATATAAGTTTATAATTATATAGTTGTTATATATACCGGTAGTCAATAGATGCGTGTGTGATGTAGCTGCGGACTTGTTCTTGCTGCCAGTGAACTAGTTGATATGGTATTGGTATTACGTTTAGTGTCGCCTTGAAGTTGTACAATGTTATAATATTTATAGTGTGCGTGATTTAATTTTAGTAAAAGTACATAAACTTGGGGTACCTGCCCGGTACCTGGTCCTAGCAGCTGCCCTGGTGTCGTTGCTAATAGTCAATAGCACTTTTAATTAAGAACTTTTTTTAGCTGTAAGCTCATGTTGATAATATATCTTTTACCAATGTACCGTAAATAAATAAATAAAAAATTCTAAATCAGCTATGCGAATTCCTGTATTAGACGCATAAAGAGTAGCTCTAGTACTATAACCCTGGTTCACACGGGCCTGTATGGGCTGTGGCAACAAGGGCTATACTTCCTATAGTACTGAGCTATATAAACAGTTACAGAATTACGTTTGGTGATGTATCGTGGACAAGTTATTTGCATTCATCTGTGGTTTTATAGTTGTGCTGACGTCACACGGTCACACTGTTCAGATGGAGCAGATTGAAACTTGGAATGCTGTCTGTCTCGTCGTTAATGGAGAGGTGGTCTTCCAATGTGATATCAATGACCTCGACTTTGGTATGACATGGGGCACCGTAGCTCTAGTACTATATAGCCCCTGTTGCCACACAGCCCGTGGCACCAGGGGCTAGTCTATAGTCACGGCTGGGCAAATAGCGAAATTGGTCCCGAGGAATGGCGAAACTAGATGTAGTTATTAATTAATTACTTCATCGTTAATTAATTTGTTAATTAATATACATTCGTTGTCGGGAGTGGCGTGAAAACCTATTGAAAAGTTGACTTATTGATCACCTTTTCTAATATTTTGTATACGTTTTCTTTCAACTAATCGACCGAATGTCGGCATTGTAAACGTATACGTATAAACGTAAGCGCACTCAACTAGTTGAGAGAATAGAACATGTTCTATTCTCTCAACTTCTGATCAGCGAGTTCATCAATGTTTTGACAGTCAGCCACTCCGATAATAGTAATCAGCTCCACCCAAGGGAAGATTATTTCCGCGCGAGTTTTTTTGCTATGTGCGCCACACGGGTTACACCTGCCGTGAATTATTAATACAGCCTGAAACGCGTATTCATGGCGCCCCCGCGCGCACACTACGGGTGAAATGTTGAAACGTTTGCCGACTCGCGGTTGATTATATAAATGCTTTGAACATACATGCTTGATGCTATGCTTTGCTAGAAAGGTTGATAGAACTTTGAAAAGTTTATCAACTCGTCGACTTTTCCAAAAGTGTAAACCCAGCTTTATTCTTGCAGGTGGGGATGGAACTCTGGATGGTTTATGCGGGCAAGCTCTTCAAGCCGTCGTTAACTCATTCTAAGTCACGCTAAAGCACAAGTGCAAGTCGTAATTTTCAATATCTGCCAGTTGTAGTGGCAATAGTTTACAGTAACCTTTGTGTCGTGGATATAGTCGAATAATCGTGTTGAAAATTGAAGGGCATAGAGGACTACTTTGTTCTTGTATTGCCATTCATGACATGTATCATACCTTTGTGTAACTAAATAAACCTAACACGTTTAGGTTTAGACACAGTCGATCGACATAATAAATACTTATAACAGTGAAAAACATTGTTAGTACACATCATAAGATGCTTTGTTTTCTCTATTTTCACATACGCATACTCCACAAATTCCACGCTATTGTAGAGTGAGACTCGAACATCCAACCAGTTCAATGATATTAAAGAAGTTTTATTTTTGTATGCTATACATAATTAAATGCATAACAAGGTGCAACCAATACCATACAGTAAAGCCTCATCAGCTCGACTCATGCCGATTCACTGAAAATTAAAACCATTTTTGAGAAGCATTCGTATTCTACCTGCTTCTAGCTCGTTTATACAAACAACATCCAGGTTAACCATAGGTAAACCGTAGGGTTTTTCTCTCCTTGGACCAATCAACACTACTCAAAGCGCAAAATAACGACATAATTAAAGCAAGCCTGCTCCGATGAAAGAAATAATTTAGCCGATGAGTCACACGGTTGTTTAATACAATAAAATGTTCAATACCTTTCTATCTAATCTGCCATTAGTAGCTTCATGCTATGTTTGAAGTAAGGTAAACTGTAATTCACCAGCCGCTGACTCGCCGCGCAGGGCGGGGCGGCGCGTGACCACGTCGCCTCCCCCCCGCCCCGCGCGGCGCGGCAGCACCGATGAAATCTCGTGGTCCTCATCCCCCCTGCGTCGCATGCGCGCGCGCCGCTCACACACACAACGCCCTAACATCTCATCGAGGGACAAAAAAACTCAGCAAAGCGTCGCGGCCCGCGCTTCCCGCAGAGCGACGCTGGCACGGCGACCGCGACGACGCCCGAAAACGCTCTGAACGCACGCGCGCGCTCTCGGCATACACTGGTGCACGACAACGCGTCTGCGCGCGCGTCCATCCGGGCAAAGCTTGTGCGGCGGCGGCGGCGGCGGCAACGCATCCGTCTCTCTCCGCTATGTCACCTACGTCGATACACTTCGGATCTCCTAAAGCATGGTTGCCATGTGTGTGTCGTGTGTGTCTGTTGTTTGTGTTTGTTGTTTGTGTGGCTGTTTCTGTGAGTCGACGACTTGAGAGCGACGACCATTGAACGTTACCCACGGTAACGTTACATGGTGTGCTGGTTCCAGCCGGACCACATCTGAAATATCACGCAAGAAGAGAAAAACCGATTTAGAATCCCTGAATATTCTAGAATTCCCACTTAATTCCAGCCAGACCACTGCTAAAAATCACACACACAAAAAACCGGTTTAGCATCCTTAAATATTCAAGAATTCCTACTCAATTCCAGCTGAACCACTGCTAAAAATTACAAGAGAAAAATCTGGTTTAGAACCTCCGAATCTTCTAGAATTCTGCCTCGATTCCAGCTCATCATGAACCACTGCTAAAAATTAAAACAAGAGAAAAACATTATAACCTTCCCAAAGTTCTTCAAATACCCGCCACAATTCACGATTTAACGAGTGTGTACCCCCCCCCCCGAGCCCCATGTCCACGATGCATCGCCCCCGCCCCACTCCATCACTCCAGTGTCTGCATCCCTTCCGCCCCGCCCCCCTCTGACACAACGCTGTACCACCCCGCCTACCGCCCCGCGCGCTGCACCCCTCTGTCTATCTCCCTCGCCCACACAGCTCCACGCTCACCCCGCATACTTTCGTTCGCGGTCTTGGATTAGTCTCGAGCTCACCCCATCGCTAATTCATTGGCTGCA